ATATCCCAGGATGGGTCCTGAGAGAATGTGCCAATGAACTTGATGATGTGTTGACTGACATCTTCAACACCTGACTCTCTCAAGCTGTGGTGTCAACATGTGTCAAAACTATCAGCAGGTAAACATTTTTATTTTCCCAAAAAACTTTATGACCAAATACCAGCTAAGCCCTGTTTCATTTTGTTTGTGAGAACACTTGGGGCTGATGTGGTCTGTTAATTTTTTCCTCTTTTTGACTTTGTTTTGTGTTTTATGTTCAATTGCAAGTGCTGCTGTTTCCCGTGGACGGGCATAGTGCTTTGTTGGGTGGAGGGACCTAGAGGGTCGTTGCCGGTGGTCGCCACTAGAGGGAGCACATCCCTTAGTAATTGCCCTTATCAGGCCTATACAGGCAGAACCTACACTTCTACTGTAGTGCTGAGATACAATCCTGGGCAGCAGTGTGCTAACAACAACACACTGTTATGTCTGTATTTTGCAGAATAAATAGAGAACCCACAATTCACGCTGAGTCCTTCTTAAAGTGTGCTACAATTGTGAGCTTGTCAGCACGCAGACTGATATTGTAGATGAAATTGTCTCTTCAAAGTGCTGTTTCAGAATATCAGAAATTTACATCTGGGCCTTGACTAATGTTAATTAGAGGATTGTTGTGGATGCCAATTTTTACTACTACTCTAAATGTATGGTAGATGGTGTGGCAATGTATGAGGTATTTTTGTATGCTTGGCTCCTGAGGAGACACCAAATTTCTCTTTTGGGTCTAAAGGTGAAAACGTTTGGGAACCCAGGCTCTACATTAGGTCTTCTCATCATTGCTTTAGCTTTGAACAAGACCATGTCCTACACTGGAAGTTTCCAGTCTCTTGAAGTGACTCTCTCCAGTGTATATTAGATTCTGTGAATTATCGTAAAATTACACAACTTATCTCTAAACCCTGCTTAAATATAGAGGGCAATCAAATAGCCCTGACTAATATTCATGTGTAATTTGAGTTCAGGCCCACAGGATCTCCTGAGTGACGGGATACCTCCAGAGACAGAAGTGCAAAGGTCTGCCAGGATACAAGGTTTAAGTTTAAAAGTGAAAGTTGAGGAACATTTTAGTGCTCAAAGCTAGCACTTGTAAAGCTCTGGAGACAAAATTGTGATTGAGAAAGGATTCATTCTTGAGACATAAGGAACATACCTTGTTAAACTTGCAGAATAAAACTGGCGACAGTTTGTCAGAGTCTGTTGAAGTACAATATCTCCTTGTACGCCAGGTCTGTCAGGGCCGCTCGGCGGCCGCTGCCTCTCCTTCGTTTTTCTCTCCTTTACCTTCTTTATCACGTGGGCTCTGCACCTCAGCTGTGTTGCATTCCAGTAATTAGCAACTGGTTTGTCGCTGCACACAGCTGGGGTGCATCCCGTTGATTACTTTTTTTCTTATTTATACCTCGGGCAGACGCTTCGCCGCCGCATCATTGTTATGGTTATTGTTACTTATTCACGCCAAGTAGGTGACTAATTTATGTTTATTCTGCATATTAGACGTGGATAGAAGGCTACGCTAACGGTCGCTGTGCGTTATGGCTTGACCTATTACGTTGTTTGTGCGTTTCGCAGGACGCACCTAGTAATCAACGCTGACAGTCCCCGTGCTGTTGATTTTCGGATTGCGTTTTGCTACCTTTTGTTTTCACTTGTCCGTCCTCATCCTCCTGCTCTCCTGATTCCTGCCGTTCGTGTGTATGTGTACCTGTTCGTCCTGGTCTCCGTCGTCATCACTGCCCTTCCCTTATATGTATTATGGACACTGTTCTGTTGTTACTTTGTTGTGTAGTTTTACACAACACTGATGAGCTGTTACGCGATATCACGTTACCTAGAGAGGCCGCTATGTGTAATGATCCTAATTGTACAGATGCTAACCACAAGACAGATATCTCTTCCATGTATCTTGGTATTGTCCGGGCGCTGTTGGACGCGAGTGTGCCGTTTTACGGGGATAAAGGGAAACT